GGAGGCTTTTGATAGACCACAAGCATTTTGCTTGCACTTTTCTTTTACGATTATGTTCCAGTCTTTTGTCTTCATAGGCCCCATCCTGACGACCTTGTTAGTTATGGTTAGATTTATTGCCAGCAAAGAGTAGATACAGTTCCATTAACACAGATCATGTTATGTCTGTTTGCAGGAGACATTAATTTGGCTTCAGACATCTTTAACTCATTTGCCTTGTTTAAATTTTCAAGAACGAGTCTTGATTTGGTGGAATTTCAAGTAGAGCTCGTGTTGTTAAAAGAGCTGCGTAACTTGAAACAGGGACGCTTGTCTTGTCCATTGGATTGCAATGGAGAGTTGCTGTATTTTAGCATCCTTTTCCTCTTTGCTGAGGTCCAGACTCCTTCCCTTACAACTTGATCTCGTGGTCACCTTTGTGGTCAGTTAGATACTTTTATGACAGAAAGCTATATAAAGTAGCATTTCTAGCAGCAGGAGGGAAGCCTTGAAAGTGCTGGTTCAGCATAGCCTCTGGGGCTTCTCTGAAGGCTGCCCAAATCCATTGCAACTGGAAGTCTCAGCAGAAGAGCATCTGCTAGATTTTGTATGTTTTATGGCCCGAGCCTAGGTGAAGGTACCACACAATGCTGTTCTCTTTCTGCTGACACTTTATTGGTAGTAATTTTAAGAACAAGAGAATTTAAAATTGAAATTTCTTTATTTCACTCATTTGAAGCCAGTCATCAGTAGTGCCCACCAATTCAAACACTGTCAGCATGCCTTTACTGGGGCGAGGTTTTCCAAAGGGCCTAAAGGCTTAGGATAGCTGCTGACTCTATCAACTTTCAGTGAAGGAATCTCTTCCTATTGCTCTGAAGTGCTATCCAAAATGAAAAGAGAGGAAGACTTTGACTTCCAACACTGGGAGAGTCTTCCAGTGCGCATGCAGTAGGCCAGAGCACACCAGGCATAAACTCGGTACCATGCTGTATTTTACTGGGATACTGGATTAAATTCTGCTCCTTGAATGTCAGGCAGCCTGCAGGCTGCACCCATGCAGGCTGAGAGGTTTCTATCTAGCTGTGTGAACAGGAACAAATATTCTCTCACAAGCAAAAGCTCCAGGTTGTTGTAGCAGGGTGCAAGATTCAGGTAGGGAGGGATGTTTGATTAATACACAGTGTCCTGCGGTCTAGTCCCCAGACTATCCTGCTTTACCTGATTTGTTCAAAGAACGGGTAAGATGCCCAGTTGGGGAACTACAGACTTCCAAGAATCTTTGCTTAAAAAAAAAAAAAAAAAAAAGCGGCATTTGGGATGCGTTCAAGTCAGTGGGAATCTTGCTTGTGACTTGAATGGGAATGGCCTGTAAATTTTTGTACGTGAGTACATGAGGTGGCTCTCGCGTTAGACATACCTTTGATTCAGACAAGAATGAGTGCTGCTTAAGTCTGAATAAGCAGCCATCCCATAGGCTTCCTCAGGAAGAAGTGAGGAGGGACAGTAAATGAAGGACAGGGGAATGGAGTAAATGGTGATACTTGGAGGATCACTAGGAAGTCGTGACGATTACACTGAAAAGGGCTCATTTCCCAGGGATACTGGCTAGAACTGGCTTATGTGCAATCAACCCGGTGCAAATGCCCTTCTTCCACAGTAAAACTGCATTCCCCCAAGGCTGAGGCCACTCAGATGTGTGGCAGAGGTTTAGGTTGCGTTCTCCTGTTTTCTGGAGTAATGGCCACATGCTAGACAAAGCCTTAAAGCAACTGGAGGGGAAAGAAATCCCACATCAAGTCACTGAGCGTCCACTCATAGGAGACGTTTTGAAGGTCATGTGAAGGACGTATACGTTCAGCGGGTATTAAACAGCCCTTGCTTTATAAATGTCATTTACAAAGGCAAGCAGGGTGCTGGAGTGTGTGAGAGTATGAGTTAATTAGAATCTGTATTTTCAGAGCGGCATAGTAACAGGGCGTAGATGGGCAAAACTGCAAAGAACTGCTGGTGACTCGAAATCAGTGACTTCTATAAAACTTACTGCCTTGAACTATGTGTTTTCTTCACGCTCGCCTCTTTCCACAGCTACATCCAATGAAATCAATGAAGTCAGTTGTTACTTACGTGATTTAAGGGAGGAGAGTTTTGGAGCCGTTGGCCAACAGCTGCCTGCAGACTGCTCTGCCTGCTCTGTGTGGCACTTTGCTAGAGCACCTGCGGCGCCAGGTAACTTGTTTTGCAGAGAAATGCCTGCTCACAAGAGGACGAGCCAGAACACAGACTAATTTTTAAACAGGCTTAACAGAGCATTTTACAGCCAGCAAAGTGAATGGGCTAATTCTGAAAATGTAATCTTTATTACGATAGTTGACACAGCAGCGCCGTCGTCTTCCTCTGCTTTACTGGATTTGCACGCTCACATTTACATCTCTCTCAACATAGTATAGATTTTTTCCTTTCCTGGACTTTAGGCAGGGGGGAATGGAAGAAATCTGCAGTAAAGCCTTCCTCATAGCAGTGTGGAAATAAATAGCTCCTCTTGCAAAGGAAGGAGACCATAACACCAGGGGGATGTATGGTCCAGTTTAGCAGCCCTGGATGGAGATCTGATGGCACGTATTGACTTGGTCTGCAGTATTAATAGTCCTGCAGCGAGTTCAGAAACACTCCTCTGACTAACATGTTGCCTGGATTTGCTGACTCACTCTTGCACTGCCTTTTTCTTTCTTGTTCCCTGAATGGGTTGATTTTTATCTCTGTTACTAGGGCTGAGCCCAGACACTGTATAATCAGAGTGTTTGTGTTTGTCTCAGATTGGAGTGGGAGGTATCTGCATTTAGATTCAAATGTTAATATAATTCACCTGCAAGTGAATAATAGCAATAAAATAAAGGGGCCTGAAAGCCATGCATGGCAGGGATGCCAGGAAAATGCTGCTCTCACAAGAGAGCTATCCGCAGCATCTCTGTCGAGGGATTTGCAACCACCAGCAGGATTTGGTCTTATTGCCATTTGAGCTCCCACTACCAAAGGCTATTTTGAATGCTTAATTTTAAATTTAGGCTCATGATTTCACCTGCAAAAGACAAGAACACAGGCAAGCCGTGGCTGAAAAAGCTTTCAAGCTGAACAGAGCAGGCACCATATAAAAACATGACTGAGAAATGTAGAGAAGCTGGCAGGCTGCCCCAGGCCTGCTGTAGTGCTTTCCCAGCAGGGATGTAGGTGCTCCAGGGCCCTGCTTCGCACCAGGTCCTGGTCCTTGGATGCTCCTTCTCCTTGCTCTGGGCAGAGGGTTGTCCAGCTCCTCCTTTCAGTGTCAGCTACAGCAGGTCTGCTCCCTGGCCCTGGTGCCTTTCCCACTTTGATCCGCACCAGAGCGATTACACAACTGTTTCTCTTGCCACTTCAAAGTGTGTATGTTCCTGATGTGCAATGCTTATGTACTTCTTGAAGTACAGCTCATTTCCTGCCTATCTTCCCAGACACCATCAGTACTTTGATCTTGAGCGACGCTCCTCAAAACTTTGAGGAGCCGGGTTAGGATGCACAGACAGTTAGGCCTTCAGGGTTTTCCCTTTTATACCCCTGGCACCTAGATTTTGAACACGGGTATCTCAGTTGTGTTTATTTCATCTTAATCTCTTCTGATCAGCTCACCATTTATTTTTTTCTCCACCTGTAGGGTTTTGGTCCAATTTGCTTAAGGCTGGTTCGAAGGTTACCTCATTAAGTTGCTGTCACATAATGCTCTTTTGTTTGGTCAGATGGACCCCACTGTTTTCCCAGCGATCCTCATGCAAGGAATGACATTGCACGGCCCATTACCAAGAAGCTAATTAGCAGGCAACTTCTTCTCTCATGGTTCAAAGAGCACTGCGTACGCATTCCCAGAGCGTGCACCACGCAGCATTACCTTGCAGCAGTGCTTCTGAGAATGAAGTATGCTTTTTCCTTGTATGACTTGTCCTGCTCGTCATTTTTGTTTTACACTGGGAGTAGATAGACAGTACTGCCAACATCCCCTTTGAAATCCACTGTACGTTGGAGCTACGGCCTCTGTGCCCTGGGTCTTCGCAGCAGTGACTTAACGGTGGCAGGTCCGAGTGCCCTGGCACAGCAGCTTCACTGTGAGGAAGTTCAGCCTGAACAGGGTTGCCTTTTTCATTGCTTTTAGGGGTGAATTCTTTATTTAAAGCCCATGCTAAATTATATTTATGGCATTTCTTACTGCAGGTTTCAGTGTTTAAGGTTTAGTCGGAGCAGTGGTATTTGGCACTGGTAAACAGACATTCTAGGTCTGAAAATCTTGGCATTTCAGATAGGGACTTTTGCAAATTCTTGAGGGTATTAAATATGCAGCTTCTCTGGTATTTTCTTTTGTTGGATCTCTCTTCATAGCAGAAATAAGTCAGCTCTTGAAGCAAGCTCTGAAAGCCTTCCAGGCATTTCAGTGGGAATACTAAGGACTTGTGACCAGCTTCATTCAGTTTTGTGTTCGTAGTTTTGACATTATTTCTGAATACATATTGGACCAAGTATGTTTGCAGACAGTATTAGGAGGTTGCATGCTTGTACTCCCTCTGTTTATTCTTACTGATTTTTCAAAAGCAGTGCCTGGCATCATGGGCCCATGCAGTGAGGACTGACTGATGAGCAGAGCTGCATGTTTTCCATTAAATTAGTCCATCTTTTCTATGCCAGCTTCCTCTGAATTTTGGGTTATATATACTAGCAAAGAACATCTGAATTTTGGGTTATATATACTAGCAAAGAACATCTGGCATCACCTGTTTGTAAATCATAAATTTAGATTCATTTTACCCAGCTAAAGAGAAACCAGTCACAGAACAGACAATCTTTAAAAAAGATGCCTTATCTGTTTCAGTAAGTGGTATCACATACTCTGAGAGCTGCTCTAGTAAAATATTTCTTCATTTCTGTCACCTAATATAAACAATAAGTTTTTTTTTTAGCATGGCACTCTGCCACAGGAAGGCTTGAACAGTGGCGGACTGGAGCAAATGGACTGTTCCCCTCCCACAGACTGCAACACCTGCTTCTGGTAACATTTTGATGTTCCCTTCTGCAGCTGCATGATGAATTTCTGCGATGAATTGTTGCTTCAACACACAACTAAAAAGCCAACAATATGCAGTTTAAAATGGAAACTGTGCCTTTGCCACCCAACTTTCAAATCCACTCTTTTAAAGAGTGAGGATAAGGCCCGGTTACCTTACTGGAGTACCCCAGCAGGTTGGAGGCCCAAGCCTGTTCCCACCATGGCTGGCTCCCCAGCTGCTGGCCCTACAGCTTCAGGCCATATCTGCTCCCCAGCCCAAACTTGGCCACTTTGCTTTCTGTTTAAGGTAATGGCAAGTGACTTGTACCTCTTAAAGATGCTTCAGGCTACGGGCAGTGTCAAGAAAATGTCCCCATATTAATGTTAGGCCAGATTTTCTAGGTGTGTGTGTGGTGTTTTTTTTTTTTTTTTTTTTTTTTTACAAGCGCAATGAGACATCTTAAAGCAGTTTTGAGCTTGTTAAGTCATTAAGTTAAGTTTCCTGGCTCTAGTAAAAGTATAGTATTTATGTTTAATCCAGTACTGCCTATTGGCCTGCATGGTATGTTGATCCTTTTCAAAGTTTCAGACTTGGCAGCTCTCTGGAAGAGTACTAGTATTTCCCAGGTCCTTGGATGAATTTCTTTTTGCTGATGTAGACTACCAGCGTAGACTTTCAGTTCTGCATTCAGACTGGGATTTAAAACCACCTGCACAAGGGAGCCTGATGGAGCTTTGTAAGCAGCATCACTGGCTCACTTGAAAGGGCTGCCTACATGCGTGTGCCAGGGAGGAGGCACGTAGTGGGCGCACACCGGCTGATGGAGGGGGAGAAACAGATTTGGTTTAGTGCAAATGAGGTATAAAACACTATACTTGCCAGAGAGGTCTATGTTGTTGGACAGCTTTCCAACAGACTGTACAACTTTATTCACTGAAATGAAACCAAACTCTGGAAGTTTCCAACCCTCTTCAGAGCCCCAGCAAGAAACACACTGCTGGCTGCAGCGCAACAGAGCAAGTATCAGCTGCTACTTTTTTCTGTTTTATTTATACATCTTTTCTTTTGAAATAAGAGTGCTTCTGCAGCAATTTAGTTTTAAGTTCCAGAGTTTTTGGACCACGTTAAAGTTTAATCTGCCCTCCAGTAGCTGACAACTTCTATTCTGATTTGCAGTGATTAAAAATGAATCTAGCTAGGGTTTGCTGGTACTCCAGGATTCAAACATCTTGATCTTTCAAGTTAGGTTTTAAACTAAAGGCACGTTACATATACATCTGCTATATTTTAAAAAACAGAGTCAGTGTTTCATCTTCAAAGAATAATTATTCATGGTTTCCCGGCTTATTCAGAATTATAGCTGTATCACTGTAGCTAAGCTATCAGAATGCATCTTCCAAATGACCACTAGTCTCTTTTGAGGGATGCTTTTTGTGGTTAGTATCAGAAAGAGATACATTCTTTGAAAGTAGCCTTTAAGCATGCCCCTGTGGCTACTACGTTTTTGCTATCGTCAAGCTACCGGCCCTGGCCCCACCTCGCTTTGCCAAGGCTGAGCTTCCACAAACACCGTACCACCAACTTCGTTCTGTTGCACCATGTGCAACTGCACAAGAACGTGTCCTTAACAAGAGAAGAGATTCAAAACTATATAAAGACATGACTTGCCTACACAGATTGTCCTCCTATGATTTTCCTAAATATTTTGTCAGGTTTTTCTGCTTATTGTTTTCATAAATGTATGTTGGTATTTAATGCCTGCTAACTTTCCTTGGATCAGCTTTCATTGTCTAATAACTTGAAGTAGTGTGTGCAAACTCTGGGATTTATATATTTAACTGATTTATGAGCAAATATCTTTCAGTCCAGCACTTTGCTTAAGTGTAAGGAGGTGCTGATGTGGCTATCCTCATAGATGTAAGTCAGTCATATTGCAGTGACTTCCTCCTGACAGATTTTGTTCATCTACCGCAGCTCTTCCCCAAATATCACAACCGCTTTTACACCAAACAGAAGCACCAGTTCTGGTATTTTCAGTAAGATCTGTGCAGTTTTTGAAAAAGTTGTAGAAAACTTGCTCTTTTGCAAATGCTAACATAATTGTATTTTTCTGCAAGTGTACAGTAGGTCCATGTGCCTCCACATGCTACCCGGCAGTTCATTAGTTCAAGGTGGGCTACAGAATTTTCCCTTGCAACGTTCAGTGAATAAGGATTGTACAAGGAAACGTGTCCGGCCAAAAGCTGCAGAATTCTGTATCCAATATTGCTCTTCCTCCTGTGCGACTTTCATTGCTCGCTTCTTGCTCAGGGAATGAGCTGTGTAGCTTAAAACATCTTTTGATGTTTAGCTTGTAAAGAAAAACAGTTGTTACCTGTATAACGTGTATAGTACTTTGTGGAAAGAGATGTCCAGTTGTGTTATTACATAACTTTTTTTTGTTTCGAACTAGTTTATCCCAGTAGGCATTTAACTGTATTTAAATGGTAATCATATTTCTAACCCAAGTTAGATAAATAACTATATTTCTAACCCAGACTGTATTTAGATTCCTCTCCAAAGGTTACTCTAGAGCATTATCTGGTAGGCTGTAATGACATCCACACTAATGACAAACATCATTTTACCAGCCTTGAAGAGAAGATAGTACCATCCTTGAGTAGTACCATACAATGCCCTAATTTTATGGCCCTGCTCAAAACTAATGATCAGTATTTTGCAATTGTTTTTGCAGTTGTGAGGATTTTCAATTTCAGCTTTTGCACCCATAAAGACACATGGTGATAAATTCCTGCTACTGCTTCATCCTGCAATCCACATATGTCATGTTTCATAGCATAACTTTTTATTGGTTATCAACCTTGATTCTGATATTGCATGAAGCAGTGTAATTTCACTGACTTCTGGGAGCTGTTTCTGATTCACCTCAGAGTGAAGATCAAACAAAGTAAAAAAATTCAGGTCCAAGTTTCAACTATATTAGAGTTTTTGAATATTGAAAATCTTTGATTTTGATTCTTATTCATCTTTTACAAACTGCACATTTTAAAGTTCAGAGAAATTCATCTTACTGAATTCAGAGAAGACTTCAAATATTTTGGGTTTTTTTTCAGGCGGGGAAAAATGTTTCTATCTGCTTTTTTTGTGTGTAACTTTATTCCATAACTTCTATAGCAATGCGTTACGACAGTACATTTTTGGTGTTGCATATTGAGTTTAGTAAGCGGTTAATTTGGGAGAATTAAATTTTTTCTTAAAGCTATGTCATTGTAACAATGTGGGCTGTGGAAAAAAAATTACTGTAATGTACTAAGACAGTTTTCAGCATATCACTGTAATGCTTTTCTACAGGTACGTTCATAAATCAGGACCAAATTCTAAGACAAATAAGTAGGAAGTGAAGCATAAAGTACAGATTTCAGAAGCAAAAAGCACAAAGCCATTTCAGGTTTTAATGAGATGTGAAACGTGCTCACCTTGCACAAAAAGCTTTCCAAAGAAAGATCAGTTGTCTTTAGGTTATTCTGTGTTTATATAGTTGTATGTTCTCTATTAACAGCTAATTTTCAACAGAATTGTGGCTAGTTATAAAATAATCATTTTACTTGTGACACCAAGGCTTTCTTCCCTATGTCATTTTTTTTCTAGTCCACAGAGGTGTCCTAACCATACGATAGATATAGCAGAACAAACATAGGTGCAAAAGCCTTTTCCTAAGGCCAAGGATTTCTCCAGACAGAATAAATAAAGTAAATAAAGTAAAATGAGATAGCCAAGTCATTGAGGAAGCAGCTACAAGGAAGCTTCAAAACATGACATGTGGAAATTTGGATGCTCTGTATTGGGCTTCACGTGAAAGTTGTGTGTAGTGACAGTTAACTGTATTTAAATGGTAGCCTTCTGGCAGATGATAAAGTCATACTCAGCTTTTACCCAAGCTGTCCCTCAGTACCATGGGATGTAGTAACCTGCACAGATTAATGTGACAAGTCTGGCGTACACAACAATTACAATAACTCTGTTCTTTACTATCTAGCAGTAGAAGAATGATGGACAACTCCCAACTACAAAGTTGTATAGACACTGGGCACTCTTCCTCAAAGTCCCAGGCCTTCAGAATTGCACAGAGATCAATCATTTCTTCTCTGCACTTCAGTATCTACAAGGAGAGAGAAAAATCACAGGTTTGTGACATTTTCAGAGACAATCACAATTTTCACAAAAGGCAAATTTTGATGTCATTGTATAAGAACATAATGAACGGATAAGCTTAGGTCTGTTCTTTATAATTGTTGTTAGGATGATTACATATTTCTTTATTAATTTAGTTTAATCCAATATAGTTTAGGCAGTTTAGATAGCTGGGAAATAAGCAGGAAGACCAGAGAATGATTCCAGAAAAAAAAAATGCCAAAACCTGCTGGTCAACATATCAAAGGCTTAGAAAACTATCTCAAATCACAAAGGACTTCAAACTGCCATTTTGTACATGGTCAGGAAGAATCAACGGTCACAGCTCCCAAACGTAAAGGCTGCTAAATCCAAATGGGTTTAATGGTCAGTAGAGAAGGGTTTTGTATATTGAAACCCCTTCATCTCAGCTGAGGTCAGAGGGCCAGTTGAAAGAGAAGAACAGGACAGTCTTTGAGCCCTAGTCTGACTCTTTCTTCGCAGATTGATTAACCTCTGCAGTGCTTAGCTGCTATGGTGATTGCTATTATAGGATACCTTCAATTCTCTGTTTCATGTAAACAGGAAACAATTAGAGAAGACATGTGCTGCTCTATTTCCATTGCATTTCCTGTGTAAAACTGTGGGCTGAGAGGTTTGGGAATTTTCCCCTTAATTGCACCCTTGGCTTTGTGAGGTGTGTTGATTGACTTCATGTGTTTCCCCTCCACACACCCCCCACACACCTCCTTGGCACTGATTCAGGTGACCCACCTTGTGTAATGAAGGGTATTTCAGCTCTATTTGACATCTAAAAATACTGCGGGTTGAA